ATAAGGATTTCCCCTTTTTCTCAAACTGGGGTACAATTATAATGGCTTCAAATATCCATCTCCAATTCTGTCCTGCATAACTGAATCAGGCTTAGGGTCACCCATTCTTCTGGCCCTCCAATCAATAAGAGTATTGTCTTCAAGAGTTTGTCTTCATGCAGTTCATCTGAAGAACCTTGTACTTCCCAACAGTGTGGTTCAAAAGAGTAGCTCATAAAGTAGAAATTAAGTTTGTGTCTTCTTCTTCTTCTTCTTCTTCTTCTTCTTCTTCTTCTTCTTCTTCTTCTTCTTCTTCTTCTTCTTCTTCTTCTTCTTCTTTCTTTCTTCTTCTTCTTCTTCTTTCTTCTTCTTCTTCTTCTTCTTCTTCTTCTTCTTCTTCTTCTTCTTCTTCTTCTTCTTCTCCTTCTCCTTCTCCTCTCCTCCTCCTCCTCCTCCTCCTCCTCCTTCCTTCTCCTCCTTCTCCTTCTCCTTCTCCTTCTCCTTCTCCTTCTCCTTCTCCTTCTCCTTCTCCTTCTCTTCTTCTTCTTCTTCTTCTTCTCCTTCTCCTCTCCTTCTCCTTCTCCTTCCTCTTCCTCTTCCTCTTCCTCTTCCTCTTCCTCTTTCCTCTTCCTCTTCCTCTTCCTCTTTCTTCTTCTTCTTCTTCTTCTTCTTCTTCTTCTCTTCTTCTTCTTCTTCTTCTTCTTCTTCTTCTTCTTCTTCTCTCTCTCTCTCTCTCTCTCTCTCTCTCTCTCTCTCTCTCTCCTCTCTCTCTCTCTCTCTCTCTCTCTCTCTCTCTCTCTCTCTCTCTCTCTCTCTCTCTCTCTCTCTCCTCTTTTACCTTATCTTATAAAAGTAGTTTTTGAAAAGCAACCTCTTTAGTTTTAGGTATTTAGGAGTTCTGCATTATAGAGTTTTGCTTGTAGAACTCTGCATTGTGGTAGGCTTCATTTGTGGCAACTATGCTGGCCATATAGCATACAGAATCAGGAGAATATGGCTTAACTCTCCCATTCAACAACAACAGAAAAAAAAATCTGGTTCACATTTCCAGCTCCTGGAGGAGAAGCCTGAGGACAATAGGTGTTCTTCTGTCAATTGGCCAAGATGCTTGTAGGCAGGGTGGTTGTGGAGCTCCTTAAAACTGGGGTAAGTTTCCAAGGCTGGACACCCGTGGCCATAAAAGATTATGCAGCCCTGCTTTCCTATCGGCAACAACACTGACCACACCAAAAATGGCAAATGTACACAAAACTATTCCCATGGAGATATTTCCTCTCCTAAGTAAGAATAAGTCCTCAGTTTGAGATAGTCCTCAATTTATGACCACAATTGACCCAAAATTTCTATTGCTAAATGAGACAGTTGAGTTTTGCCCCATTTTATGAACTTTTTTTTTAACCACAGCTGTTAAGGGAATCAATGCAGTTGTTAAGTTAGTGACATGGTTGTTAAGTGAATCTGGCTTCCTCCATTGGCTTTGCTTGTCAGAAGGTCACAAAACGTGATCAGACGATCCTAGAACACTCTAGCGGTCATATATCAGAGTCAGTTGCCAAGCCTCTGAACTTTGATCATTTGACCATGGGGATGCTGTTGTAAGCGTGAAAAATGGTCCTAAGTCACTTTTTCAGTGCCGTTGTAACTTCAAATGGCCATTAAATGAAGTGTTGTACATTGAGGACTACCTATAAAATAAGAGGATGAAATGGGGTACCCCAGAAGTGGGTGTTGCTGACTTACTGAAAAACTGCAAAGGCGTTCTCCATATACTGTGAGCTGTTGTCGCAAGCCCCACTTCTTCTGTTCTAATTCTGATGGGAGCAAGACATCCAAGTGGCTCAGGGTCCCACGGTTTAGGAGGCTTAAACCAGATATACCAGTAGCTGATTCCTAGGTGTGAGAAGTTAGGAATGCAGGAAATTATGTATGCATTTAAGTTGTGCAGGGTGTTTTTCAAGATGATGTATGGGAAGAGATGAGTTCTCAAAATAGATTGGAAGAGAGGATGGAAAGCCCCCAAAAGGATTCTAAAAGAACCAGCCAATTTTCTGAAAGCAAAGCAAAAAATATTGATGAGTGATACGTTGAGGGAGAGAGAGCTCTTCTCAGAAAGTTTCAGTGCCCAGGGCTAGAAAGAGAGAGTGCACCAAAGATCACCTTCAGTGGCCACCCCTGTCAGCTTGCAAAGAAGACTCATATCTGGCTGAGGGGGAGTGAAATGGGGTTGCTGCCTACCTTTCCTCCCACAAGGCCTGGAGAGATTGGGCAAATGGAGGGGGGGAAGGGGGAGAACATGCAAGAATGAATGGGAGGCGATATGGGAGAGACCAGGATAAAAATTCCAGTCAGAAATCCTGCATAAGCAGAACACACAATAGAGAAGTGTATGTCATTGCTCTGCATAAAATACCTGCTTAGATGTTAATTTACTGAAAGCTATGCAAGCATTAAATAAGGTTAACCTTTAACTGGGGCTGAAAAGTAAATAAAAAGATTGGTTTGGGGGGCTGGGGAGGGAAAGAAAGATGTCTCAGAAGACAGCTTAAAAATTAATGATTTGTCAGCCCTCTTGAGCAAGAAGAGAAAGAAGAAAAAAAAAGAAGAGCTAAGCTCAAGCTGTTGCCTTGGATTTGCTAAGCCTCTTAATTCATCTGACCCCAGCATGAACCTCTCTGGTTAGGAGAGCTTTCCCTGACCTAGGTGCGCTCCATAGGCCTTGAACTACAGCTCATATCATCCACAGCCACCATGCACATTGTCTATAACAGTGGTGGCGATCCGATGGCACGTGTGCCAGAGGTGGCACTCAGAGCCCTCTCTGTGGGCACGTGCACCATGCCCCGGAGATGGCAACCGTCCCTCTTCAACCAGCCACCCGCTAACTCGCCGAGGTCCCACGTAGCTGGATGCATCCCAGCACCCATGTGCTCGCTGGCCTCTTTGTGCAGGGACTGATGGTGTCAGGCAGCAGCCGCCCTGGCCCCTGGCTCACCTTGCCCTGTGACAATGACACCCCCACTCTGCCTCGCCTTGCCTCGCCTCTCCCCGCAGGACGAGCTTCCTGCCCACTGCCCCACCTGCCAGAGACCCCCTGGATCTCCCCCAACCCAGTCCCCACAGCAACATTGAGGTGATCATGCCCACCTTGGCCACACCCACCCAAACTGCCATGACCACTGCAGCCATGCCCATCTAGTGGGCCATGCCCACCTGGCACCTGGTAATAAATAAGTGGGTTTTGGGTTGCAGTTTGTGCACTCGGTCTCTAAAAGGTTCGCCATCACTGGTTTATAAAGTACCCAGGAGATCAGGACAGTAGCAGGTGGGCCTAGCATCAATATGGATTGGTGATGATGCTTCTTTGTGTGTCTCCTTCACATGGCTTTTTGGGGGAAGATGGGGGTACGGGGAAATGACTGGGCTTGAATATGCAACATCAATAGCTGGCCATGATCAGAAACAGGGAATCCTTCTGGATCAGCTATGGGGGTTAGGAGTGGGAACCACTGTATTGTGCTGGTTCTCTTCCTCCCTACAAAGTTGATTCCGGTTGGTGTTGATTGGGAGTGAGAGGCCCACCCTCAGCCACTACAATGTGTAGTTCTCCAGGACTGGGTAATCTCTCCACTCTTTTTTAACATCTGCATGAAGCTGCTGGGTGAGATCATCCACCACTCTGTGTGTGTGTGTGTGTGTGTGTGTGTGTGTTGGGGGGGGGTTTAAAATATCAGTATGCTAGCCAATTATACATCTCTGCCCCTGGCAAACTAAGCAATGCCCTTGATGTCCTGCCTTGGTGCCTGGAGGCTGTGGGGAGTTGGGCAGAGAACAACAGGCTTCAGCTGAACCCTGGCAAGACTGAGTGAGTTTTGGATTTTAAGGCCTTTTCAATCTGGGACTTTACCATCTTTGTGCTGGATGGAGTTGCATTGTCCCCAGGAGACTCTATGTGCAATCTGGGGATCCTTCTGGACTCACAACTCCTACTCAAAGAGCAAGTGGCAGTGGTGGCTAGGAGAGCCTTTGCACAGCTTTGTGCTGAGATTGGCCCCATTCCTATCAAATTTCTGGAAATCTCTTAAAAGTTGTTAGTGGATCCTATGGAAATAGGGAGCACACAAAATGACTGTATTGCATGTACCACTTGAATACATGCTCCTCCAGTTTCATTTATATGTATGTTTTAATTGGTTTTTAATTGTTTTGTTTCTATTGCATGCTGCCCAGAGTCACATCTGTGAGATGGGCGGCTGTATAAATTTGATAAACAGGCAAACAAATGCACATAGTTGCTGATGCCCAAGTTGTTGTTTTTTAATTTTAAATATATATTATCTTTTGCTTGAAACCAAATGATCCTTATTGCCAAGGACTTTTTCCCTGCCTTTCTAATGATTGATTCCTAAATCCAGCAGCTACTGGGGCAGTTTTTGATAGCAAGCTTTCACCTTCCCTAGCAAAGGAAATATTAGACAATTATTAAATGCCTTAAATCTATTAAGGGGTTGTGTCATCTTCTAGAAGTTTTAAGCTGTAACTCCCTCATTTTCTTGTTGTTGGCCATGTTGTCTGGGGCAATAGGAGTGAAAGTTGAGAGGCACCTATTTAAGCATGATGCTTGTCCAACTTGACTCCTATAGGAGCTAGTCCAGTGGTGGCAAACCTATGGCACAGGTGCCAGAGGCGGCACTCAGAGCCCTCTCTGTGGGCATGTGCACCATCGCCCCAGTCCTAGGCCTTCAGCTGGGTTTTATAAAACCTTTTCGCTTTAGGCCTCCATTGCTGTGTGCAAAAAAAAAAAAAAAGGTTCAGTCAGTCAATTTCAACTTCTCAGGGGGAAAAAAAAGATCTTGCAAAGTTGGAATTGATTGATTGAACTTTTTAGTCCCACCCTGTCTGCCATTACATCGCAGCCATGCCCACCCAATGGGCCACACCCAGTCAATGAGCCACACCCAGCCAATGGGCCACACCCACCCGGCACCCGACGATGCATAAGTGGGTTTTGGGTTGCAGTTTGGGCACTTGGTCTCTAAAAGGTTTGCCATCACTGAGCTAGTCCATACACATTTTCAGAAGGATTGAACTGCTTCCAATCAGAGAGGGAGAGAAACAAGGTCTGAGGTTGAATACAAAGCACATGCAGAAGATTAGAAGCCATAGGTGGAAGGCAACCCTAAGTTATGGCCACAGCCACCAGCTGAGATCCTTTGTGTGTTGTTTACCTATTTACGCAAACCATCAGTCTTCCATTTGGACATGTTTGCTGCTGTTTCGGAATTTGTCTGGAGATTCCTCTGTCATTACCGGAGTCAGGTGGTAAATTTTAAAAATAGCATTGAGCCACATTTTCATATTTCTGCCTTACAACCAAAATCAATATGCCTGATCTTTTTTGTATAATGAAGTGTATAGCTATTTGTGTTTAGCTTGTGCCAAATACCTTATCTTATTATCTTATCATCTTAATATTGCATTCCAATTTTGCTTTTCCTCTGGGACTTTAAGACTGTATATGGAAAGGGCTCTCTTATTTCATCTCCACAACAACTTGAGGCAGGTTCGACTGAAAAAACAGTGGCTGGCCTTAAGTCATCCAGTGAACCTTTTTAGACTAATGAGACTCGAATGGGCCTCCCCTGGCCACTACTTTTAACTACAATGCTTCGTTGGTCTTTGTCTCCTCTCACCAAACCAGGTTTTTTTTTGTGCACAGACAGCCTTCACAGCAAAGCTTCCCAAAGTGGATTGTGGGAGTCATGCACCATTCATTGCAGCTGAAACCACAATGGAGGAGACAGAGGGCCTCCTTCTCCATACTGAAGGTCAACCTCAGTATTGCTGAACAAATTCAAATCCAAGATCTTGGAGAATTGCTGCTAAGACAAACTCTTGGAAGTACCATGTATGGAGAATGAAGGATCTGGCTCACCAGAATTGAGCTTGTGATTTCCCCTATTTTGTGTGTTCCAAGAGCTGGCGGGAATCTGAGTCGTCCTGCCTATGCTTACGGCTGAGATTGTTCCATTTTGATTTTTTTTTAAAAAAAAAAGCCTGACTTCCCCACGGATGGGAGGTGGCGGAAATGAGTCAGGGCAGAATCTGGAATATGTTAAGAATGGAATCTGCCCCGCACTTGAGCCTGCTGGCTTTTCAAATTTCAGCACTAGTTACCTCACGCCGTGCAGTTTTATTGGTCAGATTGAAAATCCTACATGATTAGCAATCATCCTTGGGGCCAATTCTCCCATGAGCCACCCCTGCTGAAGAGGTTGCTGGAAACATTTCTTCTGCGGAGGCAGCTCCTTAGATTGGAAGGCTGGGTCTTCTGCTTTCCTTGGAAGGTGGCCGGGTTTCCTCCAGGCCCTTTCTTAGAGCTGCCTTTTCGGGAAGCCTTGCCAAGCAGAATGCTACGGTCCTTTCCATGCCTTTTGGGAGCTGCCAATGCCTGGCACACATGGTGAAGACCAAGCCGGGGGAGGAAAGGGCTGAGCCAGCATTGGGGCGGGGTGATACGAGCACAGAGGCATGGGACACATTTATTCAGTAGTTTGGGGCTGATGAGTTGCAGGTGAGCAGATAACACATGGTTTGGATTTCAGAGATTAAGGAGGAGGCGATTGGAAACATATTGCTGGCTAAGCCAGCTGTCTCATTCCAGGAGGGTGTGACCAGCAAAGAGCCAGAGCAGGCAGCCTTACCAGAAATCATACAGCAAGTCAAAAGCACAGGTCATCCAGTCCAGTCCCTGCAGTCAACTACAGGTCAAGCCAATCAGTCAAGACCACAAGCTGGCCACAGTCATACAGCAAATGTATTTCTTGTGGTTATTAAAGTTCCAGTGAGCAAAAAGCTCTGAGTGACTGAAGCCAGAGAGACAGGCTGTTTTTATGACTTCATGTGTAGCATAGATAATCACGGTAATTGCAACTTGGGAAGTCTCCTTCTCAAGACAGACCTCATGTACTAATTTTGCTTTTTGAAATGTGGTGTCTTCCAGATGTCTGAGATGGCATAACTCCCAAAGTTCCCTATGAGTTTTGTAGTCCTAACACATATGGAAGAGAATTTGGCTAAGAAGCCAGTTAACTGTTTTTTTAAAGCAAGTTGTTCTCTCTTAAATGTCCCTTCACTAGGACTTTGGAAATAAATAAAGGCCTATTTTATATGGCACTTATAAGTTCATTCTTTGTTATGGCTAAGTATAAGGTTAATGGTGAAAATGCTGCTGCTGCTGCTGTTATAGAAAGAAACAAAAAGTTCTTCAAAGCAGGAGGCCTCAACTGATCTTTCAACACCTTATTTTGTAATCAGTTTTGTCTCTGGCATGTGCATGTGAGGATCCCATCTATTTGAAAGCAGCCCTGGAACTCTGCAATCCCACTATCTAGCTCACCACAAACATACAAGAGAAAGGAAAAAGGAAAGGAAAGGAAAGGAAAGGAAAGGAAGGAAGATTCCTATTGCTTTCAAGTGTCTGCTTCCACATTTGCAAGTCACTCTCTTTCAGCCCAATTCACCATTCATGCTTGTTGTGAAAAACGGGAGGAAGAAAGAATAAGTTATGTGCACTGGCTCGAGTTATTCATAGAAAAAATAAAGGCAGGATTAAAAATAATTGAATTAAATAAATAAACTGCTTCAGCTCCTTCCAAGGGAAAGGTAGCTTGACGGGCTTTGCACATTTCCCTTATAATAATTGCTGGATTTTTTTCTGCATATAAGCAGAGAAATTATGATAAATAAGAAGATGAACAATAGAAAGAAAGCAGGTGAAATATTTAACAGAATAACAGAATTGGAAGGGACCTTGGAGATCTTCTAGTCCACTCCCCTGCTCAGGCAGGAGACACTATACCATTTCAGACAAATGGTTGTCCAATTTTTATTTCCCTTTTCCTTGGAATGGGGAATAAGGAATTTCTTATTTCTTCCAGATGGGCAATAATTATGTCTGCACAAATGACCTTGTCTTGTACAGGGTGGGGGAGCCCATTGGTTTACTCCCTACAATCAAGTTAAAATGCTACTCATCCATCCTTGAAGTGGCAGAAAAATGATACTGGTATAAAATATGCTGTTCCCACCCCGACTGCCAATCTCTACCCTCTGATTGTGATACCAAATGGAAGTATTCTGTTTGTTCTGTACAGGTCAAATTAAGAAAGCAGATGGATGGATTCCACCAGTTTTATTTCTCTCTCTTTCCCGTGATCACCAGCCAGCAGGAAATGCCCACCAATCAAGCTCTTTAATGTGGTCTGGAGAGGAAATGAGTTTTGAAAGATAGCTGGAGCCATTTGTCAAGATGTGGTGCTGAGGCAGCTGATTTGGGGGATGGTGAAGGCTGCCTGGGAAAACAGAAGAGGCACTGCTGGTGAAGGCCGGCCCATGATTGCCCAAACACAGTTAGGAGGGGTAGTGGGAAAAGGGGGAAATTGACTCCCCCCCTCCACTTTTTACCCACCAAAGTCCTGATGCAATGGAATTGGGAGAAGCCAATCTGTCAAGATCTGTCATGTAGTCCAGAAAACAGCTAGCAGATATGGGAGTGTGTGTGGATGTATGGCGAAGAAAGAGAGACCTGCTTCTCCACTCAGCCCCCCCCCCCAAATGCCTGTCAGCTATTTGGAGCACTAATTTTAAACTAGGGTTTAGTGCTCTTCTGAAAGAAAAATGCCTTCATATTCAGTTTGCTTTTGAACGTGGGTTTACCACTCTTTCAGAAAACAAAGCCATCTTTAAAAGTTACGTGGCTGAGCGCTGTGCTCCAGAGACTGGGAAAGCTCTCTTCCATTTTACTTCTCAGGGTCTGTCACGTGTACACATGATGCTTGTTTGCTGGTTTGTTTGTTTTTTAACAGCATTTGGGGTTTAGCGTTTTCCTGCAAGGGTGGCAAGCCCATGTTCAACAGGGGCTGAAAAACAGCTGAACATCTGAAAAATGGCTGAAGATTGCAACTTGAAGCAAGGAAGACCTGTTTCTGCCGTTTCACCCTGCAATCCACCCTCCCCCTATTTCTATCTTCAGAGATCTGCTGTTCAGGATCATTCATATCTCCAAGTTGGGATTTACACCTGGTTGTTACAGTCAAGTAGCCTGGTTTGAAAGAGCTGAGCTGTTTGCCTACACCAAGCAGAATGGTCTTAGAACAATGATGACATAAGTGTCAAAGATGACATGCCACAATGTTTTTGGTAACACACTAGCATTCGCTATCATCCTGATAACAATTATTTTGGAAAGCACGCCCCATTCTCAAGAACGCTCTCATGCAGCCTCCAAAAGTCATAGGAGAGGAACGTGCTTTCATGTGGCCTCAGAAAAATTGTGTGAAAATGGCTTGTGTTTTTGCACTGTTTTCAGAGGCTGCAAAGGCCACAAAAGAGCATTCTCTGAAGCTGCCTCCAGAATGAAAGCCTTGTGTGACCTGGAACTGGCTTGGGTAGGCCGCAAGGGCCGGTTAACAGAAAGAGAAGACCTCTTGAAGGTAAGCAGCACACAGCAGATCCTGGAGATCACAAGCATGATTGGATTGTATTTTTTTTATTTTAAAAAATAAATATATAAAGAATTACTTTTCTTTTGTTCCTGGGAGGAGTGTGTATGAGGAAGTGATATGCTTGCAGAATCAAGATAGACACATTCTGAATTTTTGACATGTCAAATCCAAAATGTTTGCCATCATAGTTCTAGAACATAATTTCCAAAGACTGGAGGCATGCAAGATTTGCCCATAGTAATCTAAAGTGACGTTGGGGTGTGGGGCAATACATCCTGACTTCAACAGTGAAACGCCTCAGATTGCATCCATGGTAAAAGTGTGACCTAGGAATGAGATGAAGGCAGCTGGGGCCTATCCATACCCTGTTCAAGTACACCTGGGGAAAAATCCCATGACTAATTGATCCAGGCCCAGCAGCTCAGGTTTTGTGGCCAAAATGAACATGTGTCCCTGAATATAGAATGTCATATAAGGGTTGAAGGCTGTTTCCACCCTATTTGTCGGGAGGCTTGATTCATACATCTAGTTTCCTTTTCCATATTTCATTTCCCTAATGATAAGCTATACATTAACAGTCAAATAATGATAAATGCTAAACTATACATTAAGAATCAAATAATGGTAATCAGAGTGTAGGAAGGGAGACATTTGCAGGAGAAATCTAATAGCCTGGAGTGAGCATTAACTCCTCATCTATCTGTAGCTCTTTCTTGCTAATGTTTTCTCCTCCAACCCCCTGGGGACATGATCAGTTTCTTTTCCTCCAGCAAATTTCTGGTAGAATTTAGACATGAACAACCTGGGAAAAAGAGTAGAAATATGCAGGAAAATATTGGCAAGTGCATAATCGACCCTGTATCTACTTACTCTCCCTCGCAAACATCCTAAACCATTCTTGGCTTATTTTTCTCCAGGCAAGTTAAACCTACTTTGGACAAGTTGACAGTTAGCACCTGTAAGATATTTTATGGCTTGAGTTGACCAACAAATGGTACTTTTCCCTCAGCCATAAAAAAATATACAACAGCAATATATTGAACAAGCCACCATTTGCTGCTTTTTGTTGTCACCGGAAATCAGTTGCCAAAAGCTATTAACACATTCTACTTTGCAGTACTTTGAAAGGCGGTCCTTTAGCTAGAATGTGAAAGAAATGCATATGCAAAGGGATAATAAGCACCTCCCCTTCATCAGCAGACCAAGCTAGCTCACAACTTGTTCTCCCTAGTTACTTCTCCAGCAGCAAATAAAGACTAGAGAGATATCTAACGCTTCTTACTATGAAGTTTTTAAGGAAAAAATTCCTAACTGTCAGAGCAACGTGGTGGGTGTTTCATCACTGGAGTCTTTCGAGAAGAGACTGGACAGCCACTTGTCCGGAATGGTATGGGGTCTTCTGCTTGAGCAGAGGGTAGGGTAGAAGGTCTCCAAAATTCCTTTCAGCTCTATTATTCTGTTCACAAGAAATGATCATTCTCCACAAGGGTCTTTTCTGCATGGAAGATTGAAAGAGGTTTAATGCAGGATCTAGCCTTTCAGAGATCTGCTCGTTTTGAAGCCCACGTTGCACCTAAGTTCTCTCCCCAATGCTTTCAGAAATGCCCATTCATTTTATCAAAACGTAAAGATATTTTACTTGAGATTTATTCCGTCCATTTCATCAGGAAGCTTTCCCCACTGCCCTTGATGACATCAAGATTATGGGCTTCGCAAGTTTGGGGGTACTAGTACTTTTAAAGGGCACTGATTGGGAAAAGCTGGCCCAAGGGACAGGCAAGATATGAGCAAACCAGATGGTTCTGAGTAGCTAATATCCCTCTCTTGGAATTAAAGGAATAAACTGAATAGGACAGAGAAGGTGGTTGGAGGTAATATCTGACCCAGCATTTTGACAGGCCAGCAAAAGTGCTGAGAAGCCACCATTAGCCTCCCATCCCTGGAGTATTTGAGATGCAGAGATGATTGATATTAAAATTAAATTTAAAACTGGGTAAACAGCATAATTTCATAATTCCAAAGAAGAGTCTTACTTATCGCATATTTCATGGTGGCAGGAATTCTCTGGAGTGACTTTCTAGTGGATTAAAATAATTGAAAGCCTTTAAATGTTGAATAGCACTATGGCTTCTTCCACATATCTGCTGGCTATTGAGGGTGTAGCCAAACCCTTTGGGGGATTAAAATGAGTAGAACTTGAAGATGTTTTAGCAAGTGATGAAAGTGGATTTTATTCCATGATGCGCAATTCTTAATAATTTTAATAATTATTATTACTTCAGGATTAATTATTTCAGCATTTGGGACTAGTAGCATCCTACAAAGTCATCTTTTCCTTATGTGTGTTCATTCTTGGACCCAGGAATTTGGGGAGGGGGTGTTCACTTTTGGAATAGTGAATATGCTGGGAATTCTAAGAACATGTTCTGGCCATTGCACCAATAGTTGTTGTGGAGGAAAAGATTGCCTGTTTATTAAGATTGCCTGTTGTGCTTATGAACAGTGAGGAAGCATTAATTTAGCAGAAAGCAAAGATTGCCTATCCCTGCTGTTACCAGCCCTGAGTTGCAAAATTCTAGATGACCACTGGACGCAGATGCAGTTGCATTCTGAAAAACCTACTCTTTACTGCCTTCTACTGGTCACCTGGAGTTTTTCATACTCAGTATGGCAGCTTATTCATCACCAGTCTCTCTTACTTTTTCAGATGATCCCTCTCTCACTTCCAGCTTATCTTTCTCTCTCTATCTCTTTTTTTGTCTGGGCAGGGAACATCCTTCCAAAGAAAGTCATGGGCTACAAGTAAACACTACAGTTTATTTACTAAAGATGCCCATGGGATTTTCCTGGAAACCAACGTCTTCTGATGACTAAAAATAATATTGAAGATGGAGTGGTTTGCAACTTTCCAGCTTCCTAATTATTTATTTTTTAATTAAAAGAGTTTCCTAGGCATGAAAATAAAAATACTCATATAAGACAAAGAGCCTAGTGGGTATCAAAGGGGCTATTGGCAAGCAGATGCTATTCATGCATGCCATGTTGGAGACTTCAGACTTTCACAAATATTTAAATATCATTATGCATCCACATTTTCTTCCTAGTTTTCTCACTGCAGAAAAGAATTTTTTTCCCCACCTGTTCTTCACCTCTGTCCCATCTTTGCAGCTATAAAACAGCAAGTTGTTTGTTGGTTGGTTTACAATATTTGTAAACACCCCCTCAATTATGAGATTCTGGGTGGTGTACAAAAAAGCAAGAGAATAAAACAATAAAATTGAAAAAATGAACAAGCCAACAACAAAAACCATATACTCACAGATGGAATGCCCACAATTAGTTGATTCAATTAGAGCAAAAACTACAGGAGCCAGCATGTTCTCACTGTGTTAAGTCCTTCCAACAATGGCGAATGATGAAGATACATCTCTCACAGAACAACTCTTTATTTCGTTTTCAGCCAAAACACCATCAATGAGCAAAGGCACGCAGGCCTCTTTTTATATGTCCAGATCCCCGGGCAAAATGGCAACAACCCGGGCGCTTTTGCGCCTTGAGCATGCGCACAAGCCTGGCGCCACTCAGTCTGGTCCCGGGCAGCTTCTGGAATGCCCGGGACCATTGCAACGTCCCGAGCCTGCTTTTGCAGGCTCAGGACACAACACACTGCCTTGCAGAAAGCAAGAAGGGTGCATGCCACATGGGCCCCTGGGAAGCATATTCTAGGTCAGGATTCCCCAAAGTGGTCAATATCAACCCCAAAGGTTGATCAGACTATCCAAGTGCTTTATGTTGCCGTTATCGTTAAAGTCATATTTATTAAAATATTTTCATATAATGAATGTTTGGGGATTGGTAATCTGAAGCTTCATGAAGGGACCGATGAGCTAAAGTGTTTGGGGACTTCTGTTCTATAGCAGGGTGATGTAGGCTAGCTTTATGTTGGCTATGAAAAAAGGACAAATTTGATGGTTAGGAATCAATAGGGAAAGAATCAAAACTAAATTGCTAAATATCATAATGCTTTGATACATATTTAAGGTGTGACCATTAGGGTACAGGTAGTCCCTGACTTACAACCATTTGTTTAGTTTATGTTTTAAAACAGCAGTAATTGTTCCGGGGAATGTTGGTACATGCATTGGAGACAGTGTTTAAAAGCGCTGGCTGTATTCAGGTAGTCTTTGACTTACAACATTCATTTAGTGACCGTTTGAAGATACAATGGCACTGAAAACAGTGACTTATGACTGTTTTCACACATGTGACTGTTGCAGCCTCCTCATGGTCACATGATCAAAATGCAGACGCTTGGCAACTGGCAGGTATTTATACCGTTGCAGTGTCCCTGGGGTCATGTGATCCCCTTTTGTGATCTTCTGATCAGCAAAGTCAACAGGGAAGCCAGATTCTAACTTAACAATTGCAGTGATTCACTTAAGAAATGTGGCAAGAAAGTTTGTAAAATGGGGCAAAATTCACTTAACAAATTTCTCACTTAGAGCAATGGAAATGTTGAGCTCAGTTGTGGCTGGAAGTTGAGGATCGTCTGTATTATATACCCTTCTATTTGCCCCATCTCCAGACAGTATAAAGGTACTAAAAATCTAACCATCTACTAAAAAAAAAAAATAACCAAACTTTTTAGGGGAATGGAACATTTTCTGTCTGAGGAAAGACTATGATGTTTGTGCATTTTATGGAGCAAATAATACATACATGCATACATACATACATACATACATACATACATACATAAAGATATGTTCTAAGTTCATAAAATGATACAGGGTATTGTAAATGAAAGGAATGTGGAGAAGATGTCATTTCCTCATAATACTAGAATCTGAATGGTGGGAGATACAAAACAGACAAAAGAAATATGCTCCACTTAAAGTATGGAATTTATTGCCAGAAGGGATGGTTTTAAAAGGGGATGAGAGAAATTTATGGAGGATATTTATCAATGGTTAGTAGACATGATGGCT